TCTTTCATGTCTTCCTTTGATTCACCCCTTCCTCTATTTAAAACACTTTCTCCCTCTAGACCCAGGGAAAGGCCAGCTTCCACCACTGACTACTCTTGAGAGCAAGGCCAACACTGGCATGGTGGATGAGGTATGCAGGCAAAGTTGGGACGGGCTGCAGCTCAGTGGAAGAGCATCTGCTTTGCATGCAGAAGGTCCACCATTCATTCCCGGCATCTCCAGGTAGGGCTGGGAGTGCCCCCTGCCTGAAAGCCAGGAGTGCCACTGCCAGTCAGTGTAGATAGTGCTGAGCTAGATGGACCCAGTCGTCTGATCCAGTAGAAGGCAGCTTCCTACGTTTGCTGGTATCCCTTGGCATGGTGCCATCATATGCTGCAGGAGCTTCATGGCAAAACTCTCGTCTCTCGTCACCCATTCCAGGGCTTTTCTTTGATGAGTCCATTTAAAGACCTGTTGTCAGTAAGTGCAAACGGTACTGAGCTAGTTGGATTAAGGACCCAATTCAGAATGAAGCAACTTTCTCCATTCCTAAAGATGGGCTTTCCCCATTGCTTTTGAGCTGGGAGTTCTATCGTATAGCAGCCTGCTCCAAGCGGGTGTGCCCGTCAGCTTCTCACACACCCCAGAAGGACTCCAGCTTATTAGACACATCCATTCAGCAATGACCTCTCTCTCTCTCTCTCTCTCTCTCTCTCTCTCTCTCTCTGTGTGTGTGTGTGTGCGCACAGAGTGCTCCAGAGCACCATCAGGAAGAGACCATTCATTGCCTCATCCTCTTTAACAAATATGTTTGTAGCCCTATTAAAAGGGGGGCTTCATCTATCCTGTCAAAGGCAGCCTGCTGGGTCTTTCTCCCTCTCTTTCTTTCTTCCCCCTCCCCAGTTTAATTACACTATCCAATTAAAACTCCTTTGCTGCATTTGGATTCGCTTCTCCTTGGGCTTGAGTGGATATGACATTTACAAGGCTCGGCTCTCAAGCAGACAATGGCGTGATTGATGAGGTGCAGACGTGGCAAAGGAGCCCGATCGCAACTGTGGAAAGGCTGCTTAGTGCAATTTGATTTATTTATCATCTCTTCCAAAACAAGGGGGCGGGGGGGGGGCTTCTTGCAGAGAGTAAGCTTAAAAGGGATGAGAACCAATGGTGTTTGGGCACTAGAGGACTCTGTCTCAACACCTCCAACTCAAAAAGCTCCTCGTTTTAGATGTCAGGAGTAGCAGAGGCAGGATCCGGCCTCCTTGTTTGAGGGCACTATTTGCCACCTGGATGCGAGAAGTCTTGATCTCATACCACTGGACGAAAAGCAGGCATACATTTTTTTGTCTTAGGTTGACTCCTGACTTAGGTCAGGAATTGGGATGAACAACAACTATCAAAATCACAGAATTTAGCTGTTAAAGAGCCAAATACTGAGTGGTATCTGTAAAAAGCTGAATGCCAAAGCACAACAAAAATATCAACTTTTTGGGAGTACAGATCACCTCAGTCGTAATTCATCCCAATCTCAAAAGTAATTAAAATAAGGGAGGGTTAGCTGACCTAATGTCCTGGGGACTAACCTTCAGGACTATTATGTGGTGTTTGGGCATGATAGAGGTTCCTCACTTTAAGTCACTCATCCTGTCTGAAAACTTGTCACAGTTTCCTCTATAGGCTTTCTCACAAATGAATATAGCTGAAAGGCAGTGAAGGTTTAGGATCAGTTTTTCTTCTACTAGATAGGCTACTTTCTGAGGTTGACATGCCCATCTGCCCCTCATTTCCCTCTGCAGCACAAGCAGTAACCACCTTCTTTATTGTTGGGCCCACTCAACTGCTCAATCCTCTTGAGCCTGTCATCGCGTGCCAGGGGAGTCTCTAACACACCAACGGTTTGAGACCCATTTCCCAGGGTGTTGCTGCTGTTGCATGCTGACCGCTAGGAGCCACAGGCAAGAGCTGAGTGCAGGGTGGCAACCAAAGGAAGACAAACTACTCCAGACTACTAGTGCTTGCTAGTAGTACATGTGAAAATGATCCAGGGGTCTTCACAAACCACAAGTTTAACATGAGTCAACAGTGTGATGCATCAGCAAAAAAAAATTATAATATTGTTCTAGGCTGCATCAACAGAAGTAAAGTGTCCAGAACAAGGGAAGTAATAGTACCATTCTATGCTGCCTTGGTCAGACCACAGGGGGAATACTGCGTCCAGTTCTGGGCACAGTTTAAAAAGGATATTGACAAGCTGGAAATTGTGCAAAGGAGAGTGACCAAGATTATCAAGAGTTTGGAAACCAAGTCTTATGAGGAGCCATTGAGGGAGTTGGGTATACAGTGGTACCTCGGGTTACATATGCTTCAGGTTACAGACTCCGCTGACCCAGAAATAGTACCTCGGGTCAAGAACTTTGCTTCAGGATGAGAACAGAAATCGTGCAGCAGCGGCATGGCAGCAGCATGAGGCTTGGTGCTTCAGGTTAAGAAAGTGGTGCTTCAGGTTAAGAACAGTTTCGGGTTAAGAACGGACCTCCAGAACGAATTAAGTACTTAACCCGAGGTACCACTGTATTTGGCCTGGATAAGAGTAGACTGAGAGGAAATAGGATAGGCATCTTCAAATATCTAAAGGGCTGTCACATGGAAGATGGAGCAACCTTGTTTTCTCCTGCTCTGGAGGGTAGAACCCAAATTGAGTTACAAGAAAGAAGATTCCGACTAAATATCAGGAAGAACTTTCTGATAGTAAGAGCTGTCAGTGGAACGTCTCCCTCGGAAGGTGGTGGACTCTGCTTCCTTGGAGGTTTCTAAGCAGAGGTTGGACAGCCATCTGTCATGGATGCTTTAGTTGAGATTTCTTCATTGCAGGGGTTTGGACTAGATGACTCTCGGGATCCCTTCCAACTCTTCAATTCTATAATTGTATGATTCAGTTATTATTATTATTATTATTATTATTATTATTATTATTATTATTATCATTCATAATAGTTCTTGTTAAAACCGACTCCCCATGGAGTCACATCCTGTGGGTATTAAATTCCACTTTGAATCATGTGGGATTGTGTGAAGAACCCTCCTCCTCTCAGGGCTAACCCTCTGCCAATCCTTTTCACCAGGTAAGGGCCACAGCTCAGTGACAAAGCATCTACCTTGCATGCAGAAGGTCCCAGGTTCAATCCCCAGCATCTCCAGGTAGAACATTCCTGTCTTTCCCATCCAAGGCAGCAAGGTGCCCGCGTCTGCCATATTAGGAATGAATGAGTTTGAAAGGACAGCAGGAACTGCCTTATACAGAGTCAAACCAATGATGCATCTACCAGTGGCTCTGCGGAGTTTTGAACTAGAGTCATTCCCAGCCCCACCTGGAGATGTTGGGATTGAACCTACAACCTTCTGTGTGCAAATCCTATGACTGACCACTGAGCTATTGTCCATTCTCAAAAGAAAAGAGAGGAGCATACGAAAAATGGCTTATACAGAGTCAGACCATTGGTCTGTCTAGTTCAGTATCGTCTTCTGTGCTGATTGGTAGGAGTCTTTCCCGACCCTACCTAAAGATGTCGGAGATCAAACTTGGGACCTTCTGCATGCAAAGCAGGTGCTCTACCCCTGAGCTTCTCCTTAGTATATATTGCTTCCTGTGGTTAGCACTACACCCTTGCTGTTGGCAGTCCCCATAATCTCATTCTTACACACAGGGAGCAAAAAATAAATAAATTGAAATCCACATCGATCTCTGTATTACCCACGGTGACATTCTATTGGAAGGTGGCTCCAGAGCCGTATATCACGTTCTCTAAGCACTCCTGGAAATGGAAATCAATTTGCCCCTCGCAACCCAGAAACTCGCATCTGTCCCAACTAGCAGCAGAGCAAAGTGCCGCTTTGATCGTTTTGCTGAACAAATATTTCACGCCGTTAACAGTGTACAATTTGGGCATGGAGGGACATAAAACCCTCACCCGAGTCTCCCTGGCTTTTTGTTTCCTAAATCATTTGGGGGGGGGCATATAAATCTGAAGCACAGCCCGTCTCCTCCCTTTTTTCAAAGCAAGGGGGATATTTTGATAAGCCGTCGGTTTGGGGGCGGGGGGAGCGGGGTTGCGACAAGGAAATTTTGACAATGATCAGAACTAATAATGATCTTCCAGTTTTTTAGTCCACAATTTAACTGAAGTAGGAAGCATTCACTGAAATTAACATGCAGAAAATTTAACACCTCCCCAAAAAAGAAAACATCAATGCCATCTAATTGGACAGTTACAGGTAGGTAGCCATGTTGGTCTGCCGTAGTCGAAACAAAATAAAAACGAAAACTCATACTAATAACACGAAAGCTCATACCAATAACAAACTTAGTTGGTCTCTAAGGTGCTACTGGAAAGAATTTTTTATTTTGTTTTGTTTTATCTAATTAGACAGGGAGAGTGCCCATAGGTTCAAAATAAGATGACTGATAATGCCTTCTGCTTATCTGGGCAGAGGATAGAGAGGGTTGTGTGGCTCTATATAGAAATAATCTCTTGTACAAAGGTAAGATTTACAGTCATACCTCGTGCTGCGAACGTGATCCCTGTGGGAGGCACGTTTGCAACCCGCGGCGGCGCGCATGCGCGTGACGCGTGATTTAGTGTTTCTGCGCATGTGCGAGCGCCGAAACCCGGAAGTAACCCATTCCAGTACTTCCGGGTTTGGCATGGTCCGTAACACGAAAATGCACAACCCGCAGTGTTCACAACCTGAGGTATGACTGTATATTTATTGCTCTGCCCATTTTTGCCTCTAGCCCTGCTTGCCATGTGGCCCCCAGAGGGGAATGTGGCCCTCAGGCTGAAAAGGTTTCCCTATCCCAGCTTTGCAGTGACTTCAGCGACTATCTCAAGTAGTATGTGGCATGTGCAGGTTGGAGATTCCTAATCTGACTGTATCTCCCAGCCCATGGAAAGTTTTTATCCCACTTTGGAAAGCAAAGGTCCTGGCTGTGGAATATAGTTCTCTCACTTACTACAAAAGGTTGTGTGTGTGTGTGTGTGTGTGTGCGCGCGTGCATGCGTGCACACACACACACACACACACACACACACACACACCCCAGTAAGATGCATCTTCCATGATGGATTGAAACCCCTGCCTCCTGTTACTCTCCCCGCCATAAGCATTATTGACATCTCTGACTCTGTAATGGCCCCCGAAAAGGGCTGACTCTTTAAAAAGCTAAAATAAGAATTTGAAATAAAGTTCCGCGTTCTGCTTCTGTCAGCTGTGAAATACCAGAGCGGAAGAGACGAGATAAATCACCAGATTTAAAAGCAAGAGAGGCCGGCAGTGAGAGGCCTTGCAGGGGCTCTGTGCTAAACAGTAAGCCTGTAATGCAAAGGGTCAGCAACCGTCAGCCTCCTGAGCCAAATCAGGCCTGTGGATCGCTGCTGCCACCCCACCACCCCTTCCTCCTTGACCACTGCAGCACTCGAAACTGCCTTGCTGGCAAAACTAGTTTGCATCTCTTTAAATAAAAGGAGGGAATGCCAGAGCCTGTGAAGCGGATGTGAGCCTTGTCGTTCAGCCCAAAATGTGGTCTTCCCAGGCCTGTTGCTGCTGTTCCTTGGTAAGCACTGTGTCTCTCAAACCCTGTATTTTTGTGCCACCTCTTCCTCCTGGGAGGTGAGTCTTAATTATTCCCACCACACAGATGGAGAGCCAGGCTGCCTTCCGCGGGGAGCCCTAGGGTTCTTCAGAAGCTCCTCAGGAGTTTCTTGACAGGAGGGTCAAGAATGATAGACAGGCGTTCCTTCAGCGACAGCTTGGCTGATATTTCCCCCTGTAACATGCAAGGGAGTGCGGCACAGCGGGTTCCTGCAGCACCCCTCACAGTCCATGGGCTGAACTTAACAGGCATGATGCTAAATATGGCCCTTGGTGGTGGTTGCTTTGTCATCCTTAATAACAGCCGCAATGGGTGATGCTTCCTCACTGCGGTTTCCACCCAGAACGAACGAAAGGAAGAGGGAAGAAAGGAAGGATGGAGGAGGCACAACAAGCAACGTGTTTTGCATCACATCTAGTTTGACCCTGAGTATGTACTATTAGTGTTTGTTTGTTTGTTTGTTTGTTTTGTTTTGTTTGTTTTGTTGTTTGTTTGTTTGTTTGTTTGTTTCAGCCTCCACCAAATGGGTTCCCTCCATCTGTTTAAAACTACAACTTTTATTAGCTGTAGTCCATATAATTTGGGGATGGGAGGTGGCATCCGAATGGTAACGGCTATAGGAAGAGCCTGTTAGCAGGCCAGTGGCCCATCTAGTCCAGCATCCTGTTCTCACAGTGGCCAACCAGATGCCCTAATAGGAAGCCCTCAAGCAGACCTGAGCACAAAAGCAACTCCCCACTCCTGTGGTTCCCAGCCACTTCTATTCAGAAGCATTACTGCCTTAGACAGTGCAGGGAGACGGTGGACAAAGTATGGATGTGGACCTAGGTTGCAGGTGCCTTCCCTTCACTCTGCATCCTCTGGTGGATCTGGCACCCAATTGTCCCCTTCCCCTTGACACCTTCCAAGGTTGGGGAAAATGTCATTTGAGCTCTCTTTTCATTTTGGAGGTGGGGAGGCAGTTCTAAATGAGCCAAAGAGAGCAGACCAGGCATTAGGGAGGGAGGATATTTGTCAATCACAGTTTCTCTCCCTTTCTCATTTTATTTTTCCAATCAGTTTCCCGTGTTTTTGCATCAGCTTGTGAATTTTGTTTGGATGAAAAGGTTTTCATGGAAAAATTGTTAGCATTTTAGTACATGTATCTATATACAATTTTGCAGATTAGGTTTCATTTTGCATTTTGGTATGCCATTTTTCCTAATGTAATTTCCCCCCCCCCCCCTATGTTATTTACACTAATATACACATTTTACACCCAATTTGTTTATTTGTTTGTTTGTTTATTGGATTTTATGGGCATTTAAATTAATATTTTAGTTTGTTCTCTGTGAGCTGCCTAAATGCTTTCTGTCAAGTAAACAGTACAATGGTACCTCAGGTTACAGACTCCACTAACCCAGAAATAGTACCTCGGATTAAGAACTTTGCTTCAGGATGAGAACAGAAATTGTGCTCCAGCGGAGCGGTAGCATCAGGAGGCCCCATTAGCTAAAGTGGTGCTTCAGGTTAAGAACAGTTTCAGGTTAAGAATGAACCTCCAGAATGAAGTTCTTAACCCGAGGTACCACTGTATATAAATTTTCTTAGATGAAAAAGAAAAAACTGTATGCACTGTCTGGGGTTGGAGAAACCACATAGCAAAATTTGAAGAAGTGCAGGTTTCAAAGGATAGCAGCGTTTCAGTTTTTAGATTGTTTTGGGAAGTGCCAGTTAGGAACATAGGAAGCTGCTTTATATGGAGTCAGACCATTGACCCATCTAGCTCAGTGTTCTCTACACTGATTGGCAGGTGCTTTCCAAGGTTTGGGGCGTACCTGGAGATGTCATTGGGTATTGAACCTGGGGCCTTCTGCATGCAAAATGGATGCTCTACCACTGAGCTACAGCCCTCCCTTAAGACATAGGAACACAGAAAGCAGCCTTGTATGGAGTCGGAACACAGGTCCATCTAGCTCATCATTGAGTACCGTGACTGGCTATCCAGGGCTTCAGGCGGATGTCTCTCTCAGACCTACCTTGAATGCCATTGGAGATTCAGCCTGAGACCTTCCCCAAGCAAAACAGATGCTCTACCACTGAGCTGTGACTTCTTCCCTGGATATATATGGGGTATATAGGAAAAGAAACTGCCTTATAACAAGCCAGACTGAGGGTCCATCTAATAATAATAATAATAATAAAATTTATTTATATCCCGCCCTCCCCAGCCGAAGCCGGGCTCAGGGCGGCTAACAACAATAAAATAGTACAACATTCTAAAATCATTCATTATAAAATTAATTCAAATCAAGTTGATGGCAACCATTGGGCTAGAGATTCTGTGAAGATTGCCAGAGGAGGGAGTCAGGCTGTGCCCTGACCAAAGGCCTGGTGGAACAGCTCTGTCTTGCAGGCCCTGCGGAAAGATGTCAAGTCCCGCAGGGCCCTAGTCTCTTGTGACAGAGCGTTCCACCAGATTGGAGCCACAGCTGAAAAAGCCCTGGCTCTAGTTGAGGCCAGCCTAACCTCTCTGTGGCCTGGGACCTTCAAGATGTTTTTATTTGAAGACTGTAAGTTCCTCTGTGGGACATACCAGGAGAGGCGGTCCCGTAGGTACGAGGATTCTAGGCCGTATAGGGCTTTAAAGCTCAGTACTGTCGGCATGCCTGAATGGGGGGGAGGCCGAGGTGTAGAATGGGGAGCACCAGGTGGCCATGGCCCTGGGAGCATATTTCCAAGAGGGCGCACGACAGGCTCCCTCATCAAGGCAAGGCCTTCAGGGCTGGGGTGGCAGCTCGGAGCTGCCCTTGCACCCATCTGGGTCCCTGGGCTCCCTTGACCTCTGTTCCTGAGCACAAGGGCCACGAAGGGCAGCTTCCCCCTCCCATGCACTTTTGGGCCAAGGGAGCCAGGCAGGAGCTTCACTGGAGCACCCTCAGCAGAGGGCCCTTCTCCAGCCTACCTCTGTTCCTCTTGTCCCTCCTCAGTGCATGGCGGCAGCACCCTTCCCCTTCTATTCTCTGAGGTCCAGAACTATATTTGTCCCCCAGGGCTGAGGTTCCTCCTCTTATTCCCAGAAGGCAGGGAGCACTGGGAAAAGGGCCTCTGGATCTGATTTCACTTGGTGAGCAGGTTTGTGTGTGAGAGGATAGGTGACTGTACCTCTTAGACCTCTTGCTTTTGGAAGGTCTTGGTCTCTTGCCCTTAGTGCATTTTGCCCACACCAGTAGCAAGCAACAGTGCCAAATACTGGTTTTCTTGCAACAAGGAGCAACAGAAATAACCACACACCTATAGACTCCCAGTTTAGAAATATCTGCCTCTTCTCATGCAATGTGATTGCTCTTTTGCTTCTGTGATTTACAGTTTGGTTTTGGATCGTCCACCAGGTTTTTTTTTCCAGTGGAGAATTCATAATTCCTGATTAGCATGCAATAACAGTGTTTAATTAACGTGTTGTGATGAAATACGAAGGTCTCCAGTTTGCTGGCCATATATCAGTTTATTTGGGGAGATCTGGAGAATTAAGCTACTGTAAAAAAGGTTTCAAATCCGCTCCCCTCCGGGAAAAGTGGATAAATCTCCATTAAAATGATGCTGTTATTTTTGTAGATCCGAGTTAAAGTTGGACCTTTGGACTGAACACATTAAAATGAAAATGGAGAGAACAACCTCTAATACATTAAATCTTAATTGCCAATGCATGAATTTTCATATGAATGAAGGGCACCAAGTATCCTGTGTAGGGCCTGACTGTGGAACATCTGTGTAAGGTGTATCCAGAGCAGCCATGTAGGGAACAGAGCAAAGTATACTTAGAGATTACCCAACAACAGAGATGGAGAACGTTTTCCATGGGAGCTTGGTGGTAGAGCATCTGCTTTGCACACAGAAGGCCCCAAGTACAATCCTTGGCATTCCCTTGTAGAGCTGGGAGAGACTTCTGCCTGAATCCCTGAAGAGCCATTGACAGTGCATGTAGATCATGGGTAGGCAACCTAAGGCCCAGGGGCCGGATGCAGCCCAATTGCCTTCTCAATCCGACCCGCGGACGGTCCGGGAATCAGCGTATTTTTACATGAGTAGAATGTGTCCATTTATTTAAAATGCATCTCTGAGTTATTTGTGGGGCATAGGAATTTTTTCATATTTTTTTCCAAAATATAGTCCAGCCCATCACATGGTCTGAGGGACGGTGGACCGGCCCATGGCTGAAAAAGGTTGCTGACAATGTAGACAATACTGAGCTAGATGGACCAACAGTCTGTACAAGGCAGCTTCTTGTGTAATCGGTGCCCACCAAAATAGCAGAGCATAAACTTTTCACTGCACACTCCACTCACTGCACACTCCCATCTGCCACTGCTTGAGGAGTCCACCAGCTACCTGGCACAGTGTTTCCAAACTTAAAATAATCACATTTTGAGAGTTTAATATTACTGCCGGCATGCCCCTTAATGTTTGGGGTAGCTTTAGTAATACTATTTTATCCACACGTCCAGCATCTCCCAGACATATCCAGGATTCATCTGTCAAAAACAGCGTCCAAAAATTTCCGGAAATCAGTAAAAAAATGTCCAGTAAAAGTGGCAACCCATGTTGGAAGTCTTGATTCTTTGGCGAATTTCCTTTAAAAATTAGCTCAGAAACTTCAACAACCTTACAGAAGAAAGCTCGACTTTTGTGTCTGGATTTTCACTTTTTGAAATATGGCAACCCTAATTTTATTTATGAATAGATAGGTAGATAGCTGCATGCATCACACACACACACACACACACATTCTCCATGTACCCCTTTAAACCCTTTTGTATATCTCCATGGGTATGTGTACCACTTTGGGAAACACTGTCTGAGAATATTAAAGCAAACTTCCTTTCCCTAGAAACTCCCTAGAGTCTGATCCTCAGCATATTCATTTGGATCTTCTTTTTGGTGGGGGCAGGTGGGAGTTCATAGCCAAACTTAAGCTAGCACAGAACACATCTAGCTTTATTTCATGCAGTATTATATTTGAACTAGATATTGCTGAGTTTTATTACAATGTTTTTGTAGTCCACTTGGGAGTGAGGTGGACGGTATTAGAAACTGAAGTAAAACCTAGATTAATAACTTAGCACCCTACTAACACCAACATAAAACAACATGTAAAATAACATAGTATAACTGTGATTGGGTTTCCTGGGTGGGGAGGGCAGGCTGAATGCTCTGTAGAGTGACTCCCCTAAAGAAGTGAGCTAAGTTGATAGCAGAGGTTCCTGGTTCATAGATTGGGTATCTTAGCCCCAATGACGGACCAGCTGCTGCTGCAGGGGGTGGGGCACTGCTTGTGCCAGAATCACCGAAGCCACTCCCCCCCCCACAAATTTTGGAAGGCAAAGTCATAAGATTAGCCACCTGAGGTGCTTAATCAAGGAAGTATCATTCAGCTGCTTCTCAATGGCTAACACGGATGGGACTTGTAGTCCAACTCCTCTGGAGGGCCTGGGCATAGCTGGGGGAGCAGGGAGAGGCTGCTGCCCCCCAATCAATAAAAATACATAGCTAACTGTGGTTCTCCTCCCCCCCCCAAAAAAAACCCAGTGGCCTACCCCCCTCCCAACATAAGTCCTGGCTGCACCCATCTTGGAGCTCATCTGGTCAGGGAAGGTTGTTCTCAGGGCATGATGCAGCCACAGTAATAATACACTTTGAAGTTTCATTTCCTCCAAGGGGCATGGCTAAAGGAGGAAGGGGAGGGGATAGGGTGCCCTCCATGATTCCCTCTTCCTTTTCAAACAGCATTGTATTCAGAGCACTTTACTGATTGAGATCTGGGGTTGGGGGGAGTAAATATGTTACAGAAGCCGTATTTTTCCTTGTTAAATATTAAAGGTACCCCTGACCATTAGCTCCAGTCACGGACGACTCTGGGGTTGCGGCGCTCATCTCGCTTTACTGGCTGAGGGAGCCGACGTACAGCTTCCGGGTCATGTGGCCAGCATGACTAAGCCGCTTCTGGCGAACCAGAGCAGCACACGGAAACGCCGTTTACCTTCCCGCCGGAGCGGTACCTATTTATCTACTTGCACTTTGACGTGCTTTCAAACTGCTAAGTTGGCAGGAGCAGGGACCGAGCAACGGGAGCTCACCCTGTTGCGGGGATGCGAACTGCCGACCTTCTGATCGGCAAGTTGCTTTATTGAACCTTTATACATCCTTTTAAACCCACAAGCAGGACCTGAGCTTAGCAGCACCTGCTCCACATACAATTCCCAGCAACTGATATTCAGAAGCAATAGCACCACCAAGCATCACAGCTAGTAGCCTTTGATGGCAGCTGAGCTTATATATTGAGGTGCTGCTTTTGTTTTGTTGCACCTTCAATCATTCCTTAGTAAATCAACCTTTTGTTTCTATTTTACTTTTAAGTCCCCCACCTCTCCTCCACAGGCAATGGCAATTATACATTGGGAACAATTTGCAATATCCTTTTTCTCCCTAACTAGGGTGCTTAAGCAGGAATCCAGTCCAGGGACCGGCTGGCACCCAACTAGCCATGTGGCAGATATTTGCATTTTTCCCTCCAGAGGGGAAGCTACGGGGGGGGGGGGGGAGAGAAGAGGGGGAGGGAGTGAACTTTCCTTGATAGGAGTTCAGCCTCTCTGGTGAGCCACCCCTCGCCTTAAATTGAAATGACATGGGAAGGCTGTCAGGCTCCCTCCTGCCGTCTGTTCTGCCGATGGTATGCTAAGATCGCCATCTGTGTGCTCTTCCCTCTCCACTTCCTGTCATGCCCACGAGCTTTTGCTGAAAGTTTTCAGAGCAATCATTCCCAAACTGTCTGCTGCTGGGGAGCACGCAAAGTGTGCCTCAGGAGAGAAGGGCCAGTTTTCTCGAGAGAAGAAAATGAATTAAATAGCGAAAGGCTCCCAATCCAATCCAAAGAAGATTACCCACAGAAGAGTCTGGTTCCTGAGTCACTGCCTGAGTCCCAAGCCTCGCCTCCTTCCAGTCAGCCTCCACCAGGTGTCAGAAACACGTAAGGTGCAGTGGGATCATTTGGTCATGCTCAGCGCAAAGGTGCAGCAGAATCCTATGCCTTGCAAAGGAGGCTCCCTGCTGCCTCTCTGTGCACCTTCTCTTGACTTGCCTTCTTCGACCCAAGAACACAAGGATTCAGACAGAGATACAGTGGGTTGGCTCCTCAGAAGGCAGCTAGTTCTTATTCTTCTGAGCAGTTCAGGGCACAAGCTGGCCAAAATGATGCCCTTTTAAATTTCTTCCATTTCAGTGATGAGTGAAACACCTTTCTCATTGTGTCCCCAATTTTAATTCAAGGGAGGTAGCGATGGGGAATAGGTTAAACACTTATTCTGTTTTATTTATTCCAGAATGGGCTTTTGTGAACACTGCATTTTGTCATGTCAATCCTTTCTCTTTTCTTTCTCCCTCTAATTCCTTTAACAGGCCATGCAATATTTAAACTCGCATATCTAAGCAATCACGACTACAAACATCTCTACTTTGAGTCTGATGCTGCTACTGTCAACGAGATTGTGCTGAAGGTATGTGGCTTCCAAAGAATTAGTTGTTGGGTCAGGGGTCTATTTGCTGGGAGGTTCCAGTTTGCTATGACCTGGGTGAATAAATACTTGCAAGAAGCATCCTCAACAAACGGGCAAGCATCTGGTTCTCAGTACCACACACACAACCTTCCTTTTCTTGCTTCTGAGAATCCAAGCATTGCTCTCACTTTTGCTGTGTTAAAAGCTGGAAATGCACTTGTTTTGTAAGCAAAGCAATAGGAAGGTCAAAGACTCACTTTGTTGTCAAGGGCCATGGTTTTGCGCTCAGGCTGTGTAGTCATGGAGTACTCTTAGTCTAGCACTGGGGAGTTTCAGCCATCACGTGCCACAAGCCAAGGGCAGGTCTACTATGGAAATATGCTTACTGAACACCTTACTCAAAGGAGCACAAACAAGCAAGTCAAGGTACAGGCTACAAGGGAAAGCATAAATATACCCAGAGGGTTTAGCCAGCTTGATTTGAAGAATGCATTCTCTCTCTCTCTCTCTCTCTCTCTCTCTCTCTCTCTTTCTCTCGTTCTCTGACCTTAAATACCAATCATTTTGAGGCCAAGAACTTGCAAAACTCCTTTACTGAAACCTGGTTCCTGTAAGAGCCTGTCCCCGCATGCAAAAGCCTCTGAAAGGCTGTAGCATCTAGCTGTAGAAAGCATCGTCCAGCCCCCTATTGCCCTACACTACAAGCTGCTGTCAGAGTCTGAATGGTTTGTCAGCAGCTTTTTCCTTTCCCCAAAATCAAGATAAGGATAAAGCTGCAAACGGGCACCCTAGTAGTCAAGTGTGCTTGTAGTAGTTGTTGGCACTGATAGCTACTGCAAGTGCCTGGGAACTTCATTAGGTATGGATAGGCTATTGGTTAAACTACATCTGGTTCTTTCAAAAGAAAATGTGGGGGAAGGGGTGAGCAGCTGGCACACGTGGACCAGAAACAGGTGGCCCCTGCTACCTGACAAGTTGGCATAGGCCCAATATTTATCTGATGCACTCTGCTGAGTATTCAGACATGTCACAGGGTCAGGCATGATCTTGACCTTGGAGGAAGCAGCCAAAAGTGGATTCAGCATGGACCTGGTGCCTGATCCTCCCATTTCATTGGAGACAAGTTTCCCCTCCTTCCTCCGCTATCACATGCTTTTAGCTTCAGCCAAGCTCCCAAACACCCACGACCCAAGCAGACGTCCTCCTTGCATACGGGTGGCCTTGGCTAAGCGACGGCCCTTTTGAAGGATTTAACAAATGGGAGTGTTCTTTGTGGTATAGCATAGTGTGGAATATTTAAGCATGCATCCCACTGCAGTCGTGCCTGGGCTTTATTGCCGCTGTTCGTCTTACTCAAAAGATTTCAGGAGTGTTCCATTAGAAGCATGAGTCTGCTCTTGACATCTGAAAAACTTTTGGGTACCGGTTTTCTGATTCTAGCTCCTGGATTGTGGGGGTGGGGTGCAATCAAGTGAGTGAGTTTCATTGCCCCCTTTACAGAGACCCTTTTGCAGGTCTCCAATCCCTGGCACTGTCTTTTCCATTCAGGCTTTTGTTTGCTTGTTTGTTTGTTTGTTTTGAAGGGAAATCTTTCTCCCTTTTTTATTGCTACGGTTTACTTTCTTTTCTTTAATTTAAGGAAATACAGCTTGCCTGCGCACCCCGGCTGATTTACTTTCTGAAACGAAGGCACTTAATGCTGTTGGAAGGTTAAACGGAACTTGCTGCCATCTATTATTTTTATGGCAATTTAAAATTTTCTAGTGATAAGCTTTATGTGCCATTTCCAGTCCTTAACGTTTCCCCCCCCCCCCCATGTAAAGCTTATGGCAGTGTTCAGTAACTGACATATGCTAAGGAATCTTGGTTCTCGCCCACCACCCAAGCAAAAAGAAAGGGCTCGGTGCAAACTCCCATCACCAGGCTCCCACTTTCCCTCCTTTGTCGTTGCCTTCACCATTCACATTTTTACAGCATCCCTAGGAGAGTTTTTGCATTGCTTTTTTTTTTGGAACTCTAAAAATATTGGTAGGTTTAGAGGAAGACGGGTGGTAGATGATGGAGGGTATAAGGCTATCAATGGTTACTAGCTGTTCCCGCTTTACCGGTGGAGGCAGTATGATTCTGAATATCAGTTGCTAGGAATTGCAAGTGGGGAGAGCACTTCTGCAATCAAGTTCTTCTTGCAAGTTTCCCATAAGGACACCTGGTTAACTGCTGTGGAAACAGGTTGCTGGACTAGATGGGTCTTTAGCCTGACCCAGCTAAACCCTTTAACTACTGTTGTCCTTCCTTGGTTTTTGCGTATTTTAAAAAAGGAGTTAAGATCAATGGTCCCTGCTTCTTGTACTCCCACAATAGCATTGGCAACTACATACAACCACAACTGGGCATGGATTTGATAACCCCAATTTTTGTGTGAAGGTGGAGGAATGATCTTGGTCCTCAAGGCTGCCAGCTGTTCTCAGAATTTATTTTGTTATTGTTGTTATTGCTGTTGTTGTTTATTGAATTTTTCTACTGCCCTTCATCCAAGGAGCACAGGAAGGTTTACCATATAAAAACACAAAAATGCATCACATAGTTACAAGCAGAAACAATACCCGCCCCTCCCACATAGTTCAAAAGGCCATAAATTATTGAATTAGCCAAAGGCCTGGGAAAAGAGAAATGTTTTTGCCTAGCACCTAAATATATGTAATGAAGGTGCCTGGTGAGCTTCCCTGGGGAGAGCATTCCACAAACTGGGAGCCACCTGTTCTTGTGTTGCCACCCTCCAGGCCTCTTGCAGAAGAGGCACATGAAGAAGGGCCTCAGATGATCGCAGGATCTGTATCAGTTCATATGGGGAGAGGCAGTCCTTGAGGTATTGTGACCAGAGCCATTTAAGGCTTTATTGGTCAAAACCAGGACTTTGAATTGGGACCAGAAACTAAATTGGCATCCAGTGCAGATGGGCCAGGGTCAGTGTGATATGCTCAAGCCGACTCGCTCCAGTGAGCAACTGGCCATTGAATTCTTCACCATCTGAAATTTCCAAACCATCTTCGGAGGCAGCCCCACGTATAACATGTTGCAGTAATCTAACAGAAGCACACTAATTAGCAAGTAATTAGGAGCACAGGAAGTTGCCCTACCTAAGAGTCAGGCCATTTCCTATGCAGCTTAGAACTGTCTACCCTAACTGACAGCAGCTCTCTGGGGCTTCAGACAGGGATCTCCTGGTCATCCTTGGAGATGCTTGAACCTAGGACCTTCTGCATGCAAAGCAGATGTTCTGCCACTGAGCTATACCCCTCCCCCCAAAGACTGCTTGAGCCTTGCCTACTTCCAGTCATCCTTCCTTAAGAGGGATGGGTAATTTGGCCATTTCTCTACGGAGTCAGGCATGATTAAGTTGTTCATACATTCCCTTTGCTAAGGCACAGTAGAACTGACTACCCTGGGTAGAAGCTGCCTGTTGTCTCTCTGTCTGAGTCACTGCTCTCAGCTTGTCTCCTTCCAGTGCACATTCAAGGGATTGACTTACACAGCAACACAGCAGAGCAGATTCTTCTGAGAACGACTCAACTTTATACCTAATGGTTTATCACTTTCTCCCCCCCTCCCCTTTCTAATCCAGAGGGGGGGGGAAATGAACTTTGTCAGTAAGATGGTTGGGGCACAGAGATAGCATTGAGTTTAATGGTATAATCATAAGAGTGTCAAACTGAGACCCAGGAGACACAGGTTCAAATCCTCACTCAGCCATGAAGCTTGCTGAGTCACCTTGGGCCAATTGGGCTTTCTCTCGTCTTGGTCACCTCACAGGGTTGCTATAAGGAGAGGAGGAGGAGAGGAAAAGCCATACATACTGCATCGTGCTTCATGGCAAAATGGTGAAATAAAATGTGAAATATACTAAATTAAAATCAAATGAAATTACTTTCTGGTTGGCAGGCAACTCATCCAAGTGAGCGAAGTCACATGCAACATACACAAAGTGCAACCTGGGTCGTGGTGATGATTTTGTTTGGGGTCGGTTGGTTCATGAATTCGCTGATTAATCCATTTATTTCTGTAGAGGAAGGGATGGAGCTTGGCTCATACTTCTCCAATTAGATCCTTTGCATGATCAAGAAATAAAAGACCTGAGACTCTTCTTACCATGAAACCTCCATACATACATATACATGGGCATATAGATATATAGCTATTTAGATATATTCTTCCAATCCACCCCTAGCCCCCACAGCTTCATCTGCAACAGAAGAGAAACACCCTGCGGTGCATAAAATTGGGTGAGATTTCATGCCACAGCATATTAACCAGCTAATGGCGGAGCAAAGGGCGTTTTTATCTTTTGATTTTTGCATTAACCTTCCATTAAAATTATCTATGTGATTATCGCCCAAGCACTGGGAGATAATAAATTTTAAAGAAGAGCTGGCTTGCTAAATATCATTTAAAAATGCCTCCATCAAGTAACATGTGCCAAAACATCCTGGGCACATAAAAAACAACCAAGACCACAAACTTCGTAAGGAAAGAAGTGGCCTGGTAGAATAAAGTGCCCTTTATTGCAGACTATTTAATGGCTCAAGCTCAGTACAGCAGCACCTTGCTGAGGAATGTGTCCCAGTCAGTTACATTGAAATAAATGCACCTAAATTAGCTATGCCAGCCAATTTAAGTGAGTATTCTGATTAGGACTTACACTGCATGCAACCCTGAGTAACAGTGTTTATCAGTCAAAGAGTGATCAGTGCCAGTTTTCTGGATAGAAACATAGATAGCTGCCTTATACCAAGTCAGGCCATTGGTCCATCCATCTCACTGTTGTCTACACTGACTGGCAGGGGTTCTCTTGCATTTTGGGCATTCTCTACCTGTGGATTCCAGGAATTGAACCTGGGACTTCCGCATGCAAAGCAAATGCTCTACCACTGAGCTTCTGTGCCCTTCCCCCTAAGGATGTTAACATTAGGGAAAGAAGCCTGTAAACAAGAATTGTCTCTCTAAGATGGCCCTGTAGGGGACAGAATGCTATAATCAGCTATGCTGCTGGTTTTGGATTGAGATGGGGTGGTGGGAGAAGTACGCTGAACAGCCTTCAACACCCTGCTGCCCTCCAGGTGTTTTTGACTACAACTCTTACTAGCCCCAGCCAATACTCGGCTTCTGGTTTTTTTGTGGGATGAGCAAATGTCAAAAGCCAATTATTGGAAGGATGGATACCTTCCCAGGGGTAAGTGGGTGATGTTTTTTAAGAGCTGAAATGTGTGTTAAGACTCTGCTACTTGAAACAGCTCTCAGTCAGGGTTGGCATTTTCCTATAGCAAGCCACAAGCATGCAAAAAACCATGGGAGGCCAAGATTAAATATATTTTTAAAAAATCCCTTCTAGGATAATCCTGCCTACTGTGAATCAAGCCCTGTTTGAAATCAGTGGGGCTTGTTTTCCAAGTAAGCCTGCTGAGGAGCAGGACTTTCTCATGCTGCTGCCTTAAAAGTGAAACAGCTCTTCCTCTGTGTTTTTTCCCCAATAGGTGAACTATATCCTGGAATCCCGTGCCAGTACAACACGAGCAGATTACTTGGCTCAAAAGCAAAGAAAACTGAGTCGAAGGACCAGCTTCAGCTTCCAAAAGGAAAAGAAATCAGGGCAGCAGTGAAGTCTAGACTTGTCTGGAGTCCAGCTGCCCTGCTTGGGAATAAGTCGGAAACGCTCCCTCTGGGACAAGAGGGACTCATGAATTCTGGTGGCTAGTGGCCAGCCAGTATAGGAATTATTTTACAGGTATTATTTTACAGGTCGACATGACATATTTTACACAGCCGCTTTTGGCAATGGGCTTTGCCCTTTCATAGGAAAAGAAAAAAGAGCCATATCAGCCCCAAAGAGGACATAGTTGGGCTTTCAATGTCTCCCGCTGGGGCCAATAGAGGCCTCTATAGGCTTGACTTCCTGTTTGTTTGTTTGTTTGTTTGTTTGTCTGTTTGTCTGTTTGTCTGTTTGTTTTTGTAGAAATCTCCAAGGTACAGTTGCAAGGAAAGTGCCATAGGATCGCAAAAAAATAAAGTCCAGAGGTGAAAACCGAATGGCCCTTGTTTGTAGCCTACACACACACACAGGAGCGCACAGCTCACAGACAAACCCACAAAGACAAACGTATCGCTGCTGACATGATCAAATTTCCTAAAAACCAACAAACAGGACAAATGTATCCATTTTTGTTACTAATAAACAAATTGTACTCTTTTTCAATGTCTTAATTTCAGTGATTGGTTCTTTCAATGGTGTGGTCAAAGATGGAAAAGTCGGCTGGTCTTGTTATCCCAAATTCATTGTCTTCTGCTGTGAACCATGTACTGTTTTTCTTTACTCTGAAACATACACACATACATATCTCAAATCATCCATTGCTCTGGACTTTTCGTGACAACAGAGGAGAAATTCAGTTGTTGCATGCATTTTTATTTATTTTGTAAAAACCTGCCTAATTGGCTTTCCTCAAACCAATACATGAACCTAAAACACTACTATCCTTTGAAAATCAGAGGCAGCTCTCCAGCCAACCAGTGTGTACAGAAATGCATGTATGAGAGGAAGGTGTGCGTTAAAAATAGGGGGAAATAGCATACAGAAATGCATTGTATTAAGTGAAACTACTTCCAAAAAATGTGTATATTAGACAAAGCTGCATACAGAAATTATTGGCAGAAATTTGCACTAAAATGTGGACGAATGTCCGTCCAGATTTTAGTAACAAAATTGCGAATCGCTTGCAGAAATGTGGAGAACTAACTGAATTTAAGATTGGAAAAACGAAAAACGGAGAGAGCCAAAATAGGTCGGTCAATTCGTCCTTAGAGCAGGGCCAGGGATGTGGTCAGCAGGGAGGGAGGGGTGTAGGATAAAGCACATATCTTTGATGGGCCAGATTCAGAGAAGAATGTAAGAACATAAGAAGAGTTTGCTGGACTAGAAGAGTGGCCCATCTAGTCCAGCATCACATTCTCACAGTGCCCAACCAGATGTTCCAGTGGGGAGGCAGCAAGCAGGATTAGACCACTCCTGTCTCCTCTTTTGTGGTTTACAGCAGCTTCTTTTCAGATGCATTGCTGCCTTGGGACGTAGAGACAGAACACAGCCATCACAGCTAATAGGCATTACAAGCCCACTCCTCTCTCTGTTAATTTGTGTAACTTTTAAAAAAAAAGCCATCTAGGTTGTTGGCCATCACTGCCTCCTGTGGGAGTGAGTTCCATAGTTAAACTATGCACTGGATTAAACGCTTTGTCCTTCAAGAGATAGGGAGAGTATTGAGCTTTTTTATAGCACTTCAGATCACTTCCACTGCACCCCTGCATCTATCAGGTGGATAGACTGTCTCAGGTGGAAGCGTGTTGTCCTTTCTGGATCTCACCTGCAACAAAATGAGCTAATGAGAGTGCTGAAGTAGACAACCACTCAAAATGCCCAGAAAGGTCATTTTCAATGCTCAGCTATGGGTATATATATCTATATCTCCCTGCAGATAGAAAGCTAGCTCAGCAAAAGGTGGTGATAGAACCTGTTTGTTTCAGGTGCCGAAATGCCATTTTGCAGGGAGTTTTGTGGGGTGGGGGAAAGTATTAAAAAGAGAAATCTCTCCACCTACAATCTGAAGTGGTTTGGCCCATTCTACCACCTCATTCCACACCTGTCCTCCTACAGGTTTTCACTGATCCTCCATGCAACAGCCCTGTAGGCTAGTTCTGGTTTATTAACATGAAAACATTGCAACGAAGGAGCTGAGGCTCAGAGGCTATTTGTGACCTACTAAGTTCATGGCTCAAGCCAAGTAATAAGGTATGATTTCACTTGTGGATCTCCCAACTCACACCTAACCAGCTCTGCCAGGAATGGTAAGTATGACACTGCAATCCCATTTCCCGATTGCTAGAAATCCAACTCATCCCCCTTCTGGCTTCTGAGATTTTCCCATTTATTTGTGGTATGCTCAGCAGATTGGCAGTTCAAGTTTTGAGGGAGAATTCCAAGCTGCATGTGCAGGCACCAAAGTTCTGCTTCATGGTGAATAAGGTGACTTCTCATGGGATTTTTGACTACCTTTAGCTAACCTGCTGCTTTAAAGGCTGGTAGACAACCAATTGAGCTGTCGTGGCATAGCCCAGGACAGCCCTATAGAGGTTGTAGCTCCACTGCAGTGGGAACCCATCTAATCACTGGGAAGCCATTTATTTCTTTCCAGAGGCACCAAATTACAAGGCTAGGCTGTTTCTTGGTTGTGAAGTGGATTTGGCCTTTGGGCCACCCACTTCATGGTATATTGTGTGGCGGGTTCCTTTCGCTGCCATGCACCTTCTTGGGAGGCCTGGAGAGAGTTCAGAGCACTTTCTCCCCAAGGAGTGAGATGCCCAGGCTCTCAAGCCCACCCTCTGGGAGAAACCAGAAGGAAGGAACCTCATTAAGGCAATGCTTGGGTGCAGCCCAGCCAAGATTAATGGGGGCAGTTATTCACAGAGACATGTCTGTAATGGAACCATGAATTTCCAGAGGAATCTGCCTCCCAGAGTTGTTGCTACATTTCAGGAGAGAGCTTCGGCTGAAATTAATGCTGCTTAAATCATCAGCTCGAGTGCCAAATGGCCTTCTTCATGGCCTCTGCCGCAACTGGGAGCCAGGCAAAAGGTTTTTACGATGCACCAAAAGAGGAGGAGGAGGAGGGACTCTCTGGAGGGAGGCTATAAAGCAGTGGCGCTCAAAACTTCCTGCCATTAGAGATCCCTTCTGCACCCCCATACACACATACACATCGGCTTTGTTTGCTAAGAATCCTTAATGCCTCTGCTGTGGAACCTTTGCCCCTCCTCCTTGGCTCACTGCAGAAGATTCTGGGAATCTCCACTGGAGCACATTCAGTTCAACAATGGATTGGGGGCAAGGAACACTGGGACTTGCCAATGGTCGCTGTGAACTGAGGCAGCATCCAAAAATGTATGGCACACCCACATGGCATCACGTGCCAGGGGAAGATAAAGATTTCAGGCAGGAGACTTTACCTCTCACCCAAATGCACTACAATGTCAAGAGTTGAAAGGTGACAGCTAGATTTCGATCTAGCATTAAAAGAGGAACAGAATGATTGCTTTCTTTTTCAACTTCCTAGACCATATAACCACAGACAGATCTGAAGATGTGAGCAGTGTCTGGAAAAAAATCAAGTAAAGCCCCAGCTGGAAGGACAAAGTGGTATAATCCCTTCAGCTACCTCAGGGCTCTACCACCTCAGTCTGATGCATATATAGGCCACCCTTTAGAATTAGCTCAGAGACTGATCTTCCCAGACTGGCTCCTCCTTTGGAGATGGGCAGAGAGTCAGTTGCCTGCAAATCGGGCGAGTGAATGGTTAAAGCAGGTCTCTTTGTCACGTTTTATTCTTGCTGCACACCTCTTGCTTTAAATGTAAAAATCTCAACAGGGTGATGTTGGCTATAAAAAGCCCTAAGCATGATTTGTGAACTCTCCCAGCCTTGGTAATCTCATCAGAGTAATGGGATTATATTTCAAATCGCCGTGGCCTGTTCATTACACATTTAAACTCCTTTTGACAGAGGAAAAGTTAAATAAAATGTGTGCGTCAACCGTGGTTGACTCTCCTGGCTCTCTCTCTTGATTAGGCAAACAGACGCTCAGCTCCAGAATGAAAAAATAATGCCCTCGTTTATTCACTTTTTCTGACAAGTCACAATAGATTTTTTTAACAGCAAATGAGGAGGGCCTCTCTCAGGTGTGCCGAGGGGAGAGGGGCCCAAGAGCATCACCCCAACAAAGTTAATGTTTCCTCCAGAAAGGTGTTTAGGAACAACCAGCATGAGTGATCACATCTGGGGAAGGTGTGGCTGATTCCACCTCTGGCCACTGCCAGCATTTCTCCTAGCAGCTTGG